CCGCTCCCGGCCACCGCAGCCTCGACCTGCTGGGCTCCGGCGATCCTTTCACCTCAGCCTTCCAAGTAGCCAGAACTACAGGCACGTGCTACCATGCCCAGCTAATTTTTGATTTATTATAGAGACGCGGTCTCACCAAGTTGGCCAAGGCAATCCACTCGCCTTGGCCTCCCAAAGTGCTGGGATTACAGGCTGAGCCACCGAGCCCAGTCAGAAGTTATATCTTATTTCCATTCTTTTTTTTTTTTGAGTCATGGTCTCACTCTGTTGCTCAGGCTGGAGTGCAGTGGCATGATCACGATGATCACAGCTCACAGCAGCCTCAACCTAGGTTCAGGCAATCCTTCCACCTCAGCCTTCCGAACGGCTGGGACCACAGACATGCACCACCGTACCCAGCTAATTTCCATTATTTTTTAACCTTCATTTGCTTTTTTTTTCCCCATTAAGCAAACGTGTTCCTTATGTTTTTGCATTCAATTTCATGGGCAGTTGAATTTTTAATTTTATTTTTTAATACAAAAATTAATTAGAAATGAGTAGCTCCTCAGTAGGCGAGAAAAAAGTGAACTGAATTGTAAGCCTGCGGCCCAGCTTGAGTCTTTCTTCCAGAGTCAGCAACAATCTGGCTTATTGCCTCAAACATAACAGCTGGAAAAACACAGGCTCCATTTGTCAGGCAGAATGCATGTAAACATGTCTGAGAAAGTTTCAAATAAATTAAAAATAATATTCAGAAACATTTTACTAAATTTACAGCACTCATTTATCTTCATAAAAGCAGAATAAGAGTTTTCTTTCAGCTAAGCAATTTTTATGAAATTTCCACCCATATTTTGTGTAATTGACTGAAAGCAAAAGGGAAAAAATTGAATAATCAAACAGCAATCTAATAGTGATTCATGAGTATCTCAACAAATGGATTAACCTCAGAATACAACGTTTCCACTTATGTGAGTTACACAATTCCATTTATATAAAGCTAAAGAACAGGCAAAATGGAAATGTGCTTAAAATTAGATGATGGTGAAGGTTATATAATCATGGAAACATACTCAAAACCACTGAAATGAACCCTTTAGATTAATTTCATAGTATATAAACATATTTCATATATAAAGGTAATAAAAATTACATTAGATAAAAATTTGATATCTCTGGAACTTCTTAAAAGCCAACTTAACTTAATTTGTCTTATGTAGGACCTATCTAGAAATTGTTTTGGGCATGGTGGCTCATGCCTGTAATCCCAACATTTCAGGAGGCTAAGGCTGGAGGATGGCTTGAGCCCAGGAGTTTGAGACCAGCCTGAGAAACACAGTGAGACCTCTTCTCTACAAAAAAACTTTTTGAATTAGCCAGGCGTGGTGGCACAAATCTGTAGCCCCAGCAATTAGGAAAGCTGAGGCCAAAGGATTGCCTGAACCCAGGAGGTCAAGGCTGTAGTGAGCCATGATCATGCCACTGCACTCCAGCCTGGGTGACGGAGTGAGACCCTGACTCAAAAATAAATAAGTAAAATAAAAGCTGTTTTAGATAATTTGGCAAAGTTCAACAAATTATCTCTTTTAGCTTAAAAATAGAACAGGCAGCCAGGCACAGTGGTTCAAGCCTGTAATCCCAGCACTTTGGGAGGCAGAGGCGAGAGGACTGCCAGAGCCCAAGGTTCAAGACCAGCCTGGGCAATTTGGCAAGACCTTGTCTCTATAATAAATCAAAAAAGTAGCCAGGCATGGTGGTGCATGTCTGTAGTTCCTGCTACTTGGAAGGTTAAGGCAGAAGGATCACCTGAGTCCAGCAGGTCGAGGGACCTAGTAGGGTACAGCAACATGAGCTTGATTTGGGCTTACAAAGACATACCAGAGCTTCATCTCCAGTCCTGGGGGCATCCTTGGAATATTGCAGAAATTGTGCCACATAGGTCATGATGGACTTCTCATCAGGGTTCATGACATCCACATCTGCAAGACATACCACTCTGTCAATTAGCTGTAGACATGTCCCAGCACTTCGGGAGGCTGAGGCAGGAGGATTGCTTGAGCCCAGGACTTCAAGACTAGCCTGGTGGGCAACAAAGCGAGACCTCGTCTCTACAAAAAATAGATACATTAGCCAAGCATGGTGATGTATGCCTGTAGTCCCAGCTACACAGGAAGCTGAGGTAGGGGAATCACTTGAGCCCAGGAGATCGAGGCTGTGGTGAACTGTGATTGTGCCACTGCACTCCAGCGTGGACGACAGAGTGAAACCTTGTCTCAGGAAAAAAAAATTAGATATGGTTTACTATAATGGATACTCAAGGACAGGCTATGCCACAGACAATGCCATTTGGTTCACAAACTCTCCAAGAGAACCAAAGTTGTCAATAACCCATGAGCTCTCTGTTCACTCACCCTTGCTCTATGAAGGTGTGGCAGGTAAGAGCTTAGATCTACAGTCAGACAGATGTGGGGTGAATCCTGGCACTAATACAGACACAGTCTTAGCTTCCTAATAATAAGGTGTTACTACGGGAGTTGTATGTATGAAAGCATAAGTAGTCAGGAGGGTGGAGAGGAGAAAATAAAGTATTCCTCTTTCTGGAAACATAGGGCAGAAGTTCCTCCAGGAGTGGACATACAGCTCCTGAAATCATTCCTGACACATTGGTCTTGACATGTGTGCAATAAAGCAGTTCCAAGACTTGGAAGACTTGCCCAAGACATCCAGAAGTTACTCATTTATTCATGGAACCCATAAACGTACTGAGAGCCCTCTATGGGTCAGGCTTTGTACGTTTGGAGAGTCCATGATGAAATAAGTTTGCAAAATGCAGTTTTCTGGGCATATAATAAATGAAGTAAATCATAAAATTAAAAAGAAGGGGATGCGATATTTCATAGACAAAATGAACATATCACTTGGGGGTGTCTCTTGTTACACTGCCAAAACATACAACGAAGATGACTGAAAAGGTGATTTCTATTTATTAATTCAGTTAACTTAATGGAACAAATACTTTTAGAATACCAAAAAATGTGGGTCACAGACAGGGGCTACAAAGCGATGTAAGGTATAGTCCTTGCTCCAGGGAATCTATGTCTCATCTTTTATTTATTTAACAGGTAGATGCCTTAAGACAATATCAAGGAGCTTATGGCTGGAGAAAAACAAATAACAAACAAATACAACACACTATGCAAACTTTTATGAGTGTGTTTGCTAGACCCAATAAGTGCTGTAAGTCAGCTGAGGTGAAAGTGATTTAAATCCATATACAAATAATATAATTCAAGGTAGCAAACATATAAAAGCTAGCAATAAAAAGCTGGAGGTGGGATTTCAATATAAAGAAAGGATTTTCCGAAGAGTTGAGCTAGCTATCTTTGACTGAAAAAGGGGTCACCACCAAGAAATACACAAAATAATGATACTTAACTCAATATTCCCTTATAAAAACTTTCCATTATATATGAGGCCATGCATGATGATTAAAAGTGTTCATAGCCGGGCTCGGTGGCTCAGCCTGTAATCCCGCGCCTTTGGGAGGCTGAGGTGAGTAGATTGCCTGAGCCCGTGGGTTCGAGACCCGCCTGGGCAGCGAAACCTCATCTCTACAATAAATTAAAAAATCAGCCGGAAATGGTAGCGCATGCCTGTAATTCCGGCTACTTGGAAGGCTGAGGCGGAAGGATCGCCGGAGCCCAGCAGGTCGAGGCTGCGGTGGCCGGGAGCGGCCACTGCACTCCAGTCTGGGCGACAGAGTGAGACTCCAACTCAAAAAAAAAAAAAGAAAAAAAAAGTGTTCATAAAATTATGTCAAAGGATAGCTATCTTTATTCAGATATGACTATGATATTTGTTTTTGCATAAGTAATCATGATGCATTTCATATTTTGGGGCAATTACTTAAGCCACTTATAATGAATTATAGGCAATCATTCAGACAGTAGAAACTTGCTTTTATTATAGTGTCTGTTCCATTAGTTGCTTAATAATTTGCACAAACTAAAATAGAGAAAATATTTTATACTAATAATAAAGATTTGGAGAATCACAATATGAGGTAAGTATTTTTAAAGGACAGCAACTAGAATTAGAAAATTGGAGCAAAACATGGGGAAAAAATGAAGAAGAAGAAAAAGATAATGAAGAGCCAAAAAGGAAAGAGAAAGAGAAAAAAGAAGGAGAAAAAAGGAAGGGAAGAAAGACCAGAAAGAGTAAAAAGGTAACAATAAAAATTAATAATAACTGACATGAAACCAGACCAATGCCCAAAATATAGAAATATGGCTGTAAGCTCAAATACAAGTTCTAAGTTCATATTAGGCTAACTGTGAGTTTAGAAAGCCCACCTAATACAACACGTCTGAAAAAAACTGAAGCAAAGAGTACATCCAGCACCCACATAGTGGTTTCTAATGGTATTCTCCAATGAAAGGAACCAGAGCTCCTTGGAGAAATGGCCAATTCTAATACTGGGGCAGGAAACAAATATACAAGATGAGCCTGCAGCAGCCTGTCCTGTTAGAAAGGGAGGAAGCCTCAGAAGCAAACAAGAAAACCCCATGTGGACAGGGCTATATCAAAGGAGACCAGGCGCTAATTGAAAGAACTCCTAATGGCCAACACTTTGAGCTTAAAAAAAAATTTTTTTTAAATTTAATCATTAAAATAAACAAAGCAGTATTGGATTACAAGTGAAAGTATAAAATAAAATATCAATAAGCCCATGCTGATATAAATAAATAACTGAATAAGTAAGTAAATGGGGGTCAGGCTCGGTGGCTCAGCCTGTAATCCCGTGCCTTTGGGAGGCTGAGGTGAGTGGATTGCCTGAGCCCGCGGGTTCGAGACCCGCCTGGGCAGCGAGACCTCATCTCTACAATAAATCAAAAATCAGCCGGGGTGGTAGCGCGCGCCTGTAATTCCGGCTACTCGGAAGCCTGAGGCGGAAGGATCACCGGAGCCCAGCAGGTCGAGGCTGCGGTGGCCAGGAGCGGCCACTGCACTCCAGTCTGAGCGACAGAGTGAGACTCCAACTCAAAAAAAAAAAAAAACAAGTAAGTAAATGGGGAACAGTGGACAGATCTCCTGTAAGGAAGTCATTTCAAATAACTGCTGTAGATAGATAATCTGCCATCAAGGAGGGTGAGCATAACTCTCCTAAGTGTGGGCTGCGCGTGGAGATTTCCTTCTGAGGGTACAGTCATAGAAAAAAGAGGGAAAAAAGAGGAACTTTACAGTGGAGAACCTGACAAACATTAGCTCAGCCAGGTGATCAAGGTCAGCATCAACAGAGATAAATCACATGGATAGTACACACTCTTAAAATGATGTGATAAGAACGCACTTGATCTCCAAGGTCTTCCTCCCAAGAGTATGTAATAAAGGAACATCCTACAAAATACCTAACCAGTAATCCTCAAAACTATCAAGGTCATAAGCAAACAAAAAAGTCTGAGAAACTGTCACAGTCAAGAAAAGACTAAGGAGACACGACAATTAAATGTAATGTGATGGCCAGGCGTGGTGGCTCATGCCTATAATCCCAGCACTTTAGGAGGCCAAGGTGAGGGGATTGCCTGAGGCCACGGGTTCGAGACCCACCTGGGAAACTTGGTGAGACCTCGTCTCTATAATAAATTTAAAAATTAGCCAGGTGTGGTGGTACGTGCCTATAGTTCCAGCTACTTGGAAGGCTGAGGCAGGATCACCTGAGCCCAGCAGGTCAAGGCTGTGGTGAGCCATGATTGTGCCACTGCACTCTAGCCCGGGCAACAGAGTGAGTTTCTGAATTAAAAAAAAAAGAAGAAAAGAAAGGGAATGAAGTACTAAGTCATTATACAACATGGATGAAACTTAGCGACATTATTAAAGAAGCCAGTCACGCCGGGCATACCATACTGGCTCATACTTGTAATCCCAGCAATTTTTTTTTTTGAGTCGGAGTCTCACTCTGTTGCCCAGACGGGAGTGCAGTGGCCGCTCCCGGCCACCGCAGCCTCGACCTGCTGGGCTCCAGTGATCCTTCCGCCTCAGCCTTCCAAGTAGCTGGAATTACAGGCATGTGCTACCACGCCCGGCTGATTTTTTTTTTTAATTGTACAGATGAGGTCTCGCTGCCCAGGCAGGTCTCGAACCCGCGGGCTCAGGCAATCCACTCACCTCAGCCACGGGATTTACAGGCTGAGCCACCGAGCCCGGCTGAATCCCAGTACTTTAGGAGGCCAAAGCAGGAGGGTCATTTGAGGCCTAGAGTTGAAAACCAGCCTCAACTAAAAGCAAGAACATGTATCTACAAAAAATTAAAATATTATTTGGGCGCAGTGGTGTACAACTGTAGTCCCAAGCTACACAAGAGGCTATGGGAGGATCACTGGAGCCCAGGAGTTCAAGGCTGAAGTGAGCTATGATCACACCACTGCACTCCAGTCTGGGTAACAGAGCAATACCCTGTCTCTAAAAAAAAATCCCCAAAGACCATATATTGTGTGATTCCATTTATGTGAAATGTATAGAAGGGTCAACTCTATGAAGACAGAAGGTAGGGAGGTGTGGGGAGGTTGGGAGGAAATGTGGAGCATCTGTAACAGTCACAGGGTTTCTTTGTGGAATGACAAAAATGTTCTGGAATTGACTGTGATAATGATTGCATAATTTTGTGAAGACAGTTCTCCCTTGGCATCCATGGAATATTGGTTCCAGGACTCATTCCCGGGTTACTTATAACACTTAATACAATGTAAATGCTAGATAAATGTTGTTATACTGTATTGTTTAGGAAACAATGATCAAAAAAAAGGTACATGTTCAGTATAGATGCTTTTTTTACAAAAATATTTTTTTGATCCATAGTTTGTTGAATCCACAGATGTGGAATCCATGGATATGGAGGGATGACTGTACCTTCAAAACCATTGGGCTGTATACTTACATGGGTAAACTGCATGGCATATGAATTATATCTCAATAAATCTGTTTAAAGCCAAAAAGGTTAAATGGCAAATCCAGTCACTTGGCCAGACGTGTGCCAGAGCCAGTCAACTACAGTGTAAGACAGCTTATTGCTAAATGTTTTGTTAGTTGTTAAAAGCAGTCATCATCAAAAATTAAATTAACTAAATTATATTAAAATTATACTTTATTTATAAATTATATTTCACTTACATTTGTGTGTGTTTATATTATTATATCAATTTATATTTGTATAAGACATTTAATATATTATATTTCATTTATTTAAACAAGCTTAATTACACATTTAATTATATTATATTAAAAGCAAAGGCAATAAATATGCAAAACTCATCATTTCCCAGGCATTTTATATTTTACTCTTATCTATGCTCTGGGGATTACTTATGTCCATTGTAAATAACACACACTGGTGTGCTGTTGCACATCTTTTTCCAACTCTGTGTTCAGTGCCTTCACACTGGTAGCTTGAAGTCAGTCCTATTGGTAGCATTTACGCCATAGGAATCTGAAATGAACTCGACTTTGTTGTTTCTTGACTGCTTTATAATATACCATCGCTTGAAGACTGTTCTCATAACTGAACAAAAACTACATAATCTAAACAGAGCAAAGTTACAAGAAATAAATGTATTTAAATGAAAAAAAGCGATGGAGAAATTATTAATAATGCAGACAAATCTTAAAAGTATGTCCATAGCTGTTAATTTGTGAGTAGTATAAAAAGTTGAGGCGATATTCTTCCAGTATCGGATTTAGCAAAGAAGTCTCTCATGTCTTTGAAGAATGAGTGAAGTCCTGACGTACCTCTTTGTTATTCCACATACTTATTAACATAAAGGAAACTATAAATCAACATTTATGTTAGAACTATCCTTGTTCAACAAATACAACCCTAAGTTGATTACGGACGGATACAAGAGCATGGCAAAAATTTTAAAAAGCATCTTGTTGGAATTTACAATAAAACTATATGGAATTTATACTAAAGCACATTATAAATTGTATTATTATTGTAAATTCTTATTTTGGTATTATTATTACTGCAAGTTCTGTGCTACACATTCTTTATATCAGTACATTTTATAACAGACATGCATAAATGTGCATGTGTTTCATTGTTTTGGAGAGTCGTCCATTAAATATGTATATACACAGCCCTAATTAGAGAGCTGAGCTAGAATACATATGTACTTGGCCTAAAGCAAGACCTCATCTCAAAAACAAAAACAAAAACTTGTTCGCTGATCCTATGCCTTTATTATGACTTTAATTTTTTAATAGCTTTGTTTGCATTATTAAACAACACAATCAAAATGCTTTTGAGAAAGAATTACTTTTTTTTTGTTTTTTTGAGTCAGTCTCACTCTATCACCCAGGCTAAAGTACAGTGGCATAATCACGGCTCACTCAGCCTCAACCCCCTGGACTCAGGCAATCCTTCCATCTCAGCCTCCAGGGTAGCTGGAACTAAAGGCGTGTGCCACCAAGCCCAGCAAATTTTTTATTTTCTGTAGAGACAAGGTCTGACTGTATTGCCCAGGCTCATTTCAGACTTCTGGCCTCAAGCAATCCTCCTGCCTCAACCTCTCAAAGTGCTGGGATTACAGGCATGAGCCACTGTACCCAGCCTCAAAATTACATTCTTTTAATCTTAATTTTATGAAGTTAAAATAAATTGCAATTTGATGAAGTTTTCTATTTAAAAAAACCAGCTTTGGGGATTTTGTTATGAACAGTCCAGCACAACTCATTGCACCGAATCGATGGGCAAAGCTTGGCCAACCACACAGGAAGAAACAGGGAGAGCTGTAGTCTCTGTTCTCACCAAGGCTCAGCCTTCACCAGGAGGAGGGAGTGGAATGGGGAGACACAAATAACTTTAATTCAGGACTCAGAAAAACATCTTATACAAGAGATTTAGAACAGAATAATAGAATCAAGAACACACTACAGAACACAATAGAAGAAAATTGAGACAAAGGCTCAAATTATTCCCAAAAGCAGCAATGTTTGCATTTACTTGTGGTCTCCCCATAATTACCGAAGTTAACTAATTGGTAGAAATTCTTAGTTTCATAAAATTCAATAAAGAGTTTAAGTGAAAACTTCCAGGACTAAAATATAATACTGTTATATTTCCTTACATAGAGATACTGTCTTCAAATCACCTTCATGCTAAACTGTAAAGATTGTTTTAAAAAGAAAGAAGCTTCTTTACCTTCTGGCTCCAGCAATTTGGGGATTTTCATTTCTTGTTCTGCGACTCTGAAGGCCTCTTTTAGATTGTCCTTGTTGGATCTATGCGTCACACTCTTCACGTCAATCAGGTCTGGTCGCAAGGCATGAATGATAGCCAAAAACGCCACCCCGTTTCTCCAGCTTGACTTAAAATCTGTCACACTGACAGACTCAAACCTGTCACAAAAGGACAACATGGTAAATACAATTAAAAATAATATATGAAACACTTCCACTCTATTCAACAATAACTAAAATTCAGTGACTCAAATATATGCTATAAACCACTCTAAGATAAAAGTTTTCGTTTAATCTTATGATCACATTAAAGGGAAATGCCAAGTGTGATAAAACTCAAAATATCCACAGCATATTTGTTCTCAAAATGTGCATCAGTATCACCTGGGCATGCAGGTGTTAGAAATGCAAACTCTCAGGCTTGACCCCATACCTACTAAATCAAACTGTGGAGTTGGGCCTGAAACCCATGTTTCTAAAAGCCCTCTAGGCAAAAAGGATACTTGCTCAAGATTGATATTCTTCTTTTAACCACGTATTGGCTCAAAACCACCTTTAGATCCCTACATATAGTGAAGGCCCTTCATTGGAGGAAATAGTTTCCTTTCTTTTTCAGTGGGAGAAAGATACTCAGTCATACACTGTATCAAATCAATGACCAGTAGCTCACTGGATAGATAGTCTTTGTCACTCCTCTGCTTAAAACCTGTCATTTGGTCAGATTCTATCTTGTAATCCCAGCACTTTGGAAGGCCGAGGTGAGTGGATTGCCTGAGCTGGTGGGTTTGAGACCAGCCCGGGCAACTTGGTGAGACCACATCTCTATAAAAAAAAACAACAACAACAAAAAAAAACCTGTCATCACAGATGAACAAATTATGTGGTAATAATAAACACAATGGAATATTATGCAGCCTTAGAAAGTAAGGAAAGGCTGACACATGCTAAAAATAGATGAACTTAAAAAAACACTGTACTGAGTGAAATGAGCCAGGTACAACAGGACAAATACCATGATACCACACATATGAAGTACTTAGAGTATTCAAATTCATAGAGACAGAAAAGCAGAATGCCAGTTGCCAGGGGCTGAGGGAGGGGGTGGTGGGGAATTATGGTTTATTGGGTGCAGAGTTGCAGTTTCACAAAATGAAAAAAGTCCCGGCGTTGAACAGTTGGTGATGGTAGCAAAACAATGTGAATGTACTCAGTATCACTGAACTAACTGTACACATAAAAATGGTCAAAATGGTAAGTCTTCTGTATATTCTATCACAATTTAAACAAAACTATAAATATAAACGCCATTAGCTGGCCACTGTATTCAGAATACCACCCCTCACTCTGGCCATCAAGGTCCTGTGTGATTTGGCCCCGACCACGCCTCCCATTCTTAAATCTCCACTCTTGCAGTGTTGCAGCCACACCACCTCATTCTTGTTTCCCACAGACACTCTCTTGGTCACTGTGCTTGGAGGCTCCTTCTCACAGATCTTTGTATATCTGAAGCCCCCTCCTTCAGAACTCACTTCCAAGTCTCCTCTGCAGCAAGACCCTCCTTGACCACCTGCACCGAGAATGTCCAAGTTTTTGGCTTCCCTGGCTGCACTGAATAAAGAGGAATTGTCTTGGGCCTCACGTATATTACATAACACAGTTGGTATATATACATAATAAGACTTTTTAAAATATATCTTTTGTTATAAAGTTTAGAAAAATGAGAACAATATAAAACTAGTGGGAAATTTGACCTTGTTTTTGTAAAACTAATCAATCAGTTCTGGGTTGATGGAAGTAGTCCCAATTTTTAGTGAGCTCTTAAGGTGCTCATCAGAAATGTTTGTTCAAGTTTTGCTCTTTGTGTGCTTCATCATTGAAAACAGCTGATCACAAACTTATGTGCTGCCAAAAAGTGATGTCATGAATAAGGCGTGATTGTGGACTTCAAAAACGGAACCACGCATGGGGTCACGAAGAAACTAAATGCTAAAAAACACAAGATGCAGAAAGATTGTATGGGGCCCATCACTAGCTGTTCTGGGTTGCATGTGGCCCATGGGCCGCAGCTTGGACATGCCTGACCTACACCAAAGGAGACAGTCACCCTGCCCTCCATCTTCCTGACCTATCATAAGTCCTTCCTAATCTTGCTGCCAACTGTAATTCTATTTCTTCATCTGCTTTCCCCACTAGGATGTGGACCTTTGAGGGCAAACGCCTGGCCCTTCTCGTGCACTACAGTAGACTGACCCCGGAGATGCTGCCTGGCATAAAAGAGGGGCTTCATATACATATTTTTTAAATTGCACAACCACTATTCTCTGTTGATCAAGATCAGTAAAAGATTATAAAAGATTATAGTTGCTAGATATTCCAGAACTATAGTTTCTTTAAACATTCCTTAAAAAGCTTGAAGACATTCAATGCACTATTTTAAGGTATGAATCAAATGATAAAAGCTACTCAGGAAATAGTCTACTCCTAATGGCCTGGGTTTCCTGTTTATTTTGAAAAAAATATTTCAACTATGACTGTAATAAACTGCCTAGTCATCAATGATTTTTGTGTTGTTTAGCAAATACACATGTGGTGCCTACTGTGTCTAGAAACTGTTTTTTAAGCTTTAAAAAACTAAGTCTTAGCTGGACACAGTGGCTCATATCTGTAAGTCCAGCACTTTGGGAGGCCGAGGTGGGAGAATTGCTTGAGCTCAGGAGTTCAAGACCAGCCTAGGTAACATAGAGAACTCGCCTCTACAAAAAATGAAATAAAAATAAAATAATAATAATAATAATAATAATAAGCCAGGCATAGTCCCAGCTACTTGGGAGGCTGAGGCATAAAGATTGTCAGAGCTCAGAAGGTTGAGGCTGTGGTGAGCCATGATGGTGCTACTGTACTCCAGCCTGGATGACAGAGTGAGAACAAACTCAAAAAATAAATTAGGTCTTATATTACACACAACAACTTTATGATATATTATTGTTGTTCATGTTTTATGATTCAAGAAACTGAAATTAAACGGGATCTTAGCCTCTCATTAGGAAGGACTTACTCAGAAATCCTTCATCTGAAAGGGCTTAGCAACATATTCATGCCTCTGTTTACACAAGAACACTATGCTGTGACAAGGAATGCCTTTTGAATGCTACAAAGGCTACAGTCCTTCTAGTAGAGAGATTGCCTGCATCTAAATTCCTTATTTTTCCTAAACCCCATCTCAGTCATTGGTTAAAATAGAAAAGTAAATGCCTCCCAAGAGCAGAAAACATCTTTATTTGTAGAAAAGAAATTATGAGAACTATCTTCCCTTCATTATTCCCACTTTGTTTTTTTCTTTTTGAGTCGAACTCTCACTCTGTCATCCAGGCTGTGGCCACTATAGCCTTGACCTGCTGGGCCCAGTTGGTCCTTCTGCCTCAGCCTTCTAAGTAGCTGGCGCACCACCACGTCCAGCTAATTTTTTTGTTTTTTAAGTTGTAGAGACAAGGTCTCACCAAGCTGCCTAAGCTGATCTTGAACCCCTGGGCTCAGGCAATCCTCTCACCTCTGCCTCCCAAAATGCTGTGATTACAGGTATGAGCCACCGTGCCCAGCCCATTATCCCTACTTTAAAAAAAAAAGCATGCTCTCTTGTCTCTTTCTTTCCTAATTGAGCTGAGTTTCTAGACAATGAGATCTGAGGTCTCTTAAGGTAATCATATACAGCTCCAAAATATCCTTTTATGTATTTGTTACTTAGTCACTCATTTGTTAATTCATTCATTCAAAACACATTTATGGAGCACTTGCCATGAACTCATATTATGCTAGGTCATGTATAGTCAATTTAGATATAGTCCTGTCTTTTAAAGAGCTCATATTGTGGTGAAACTTTTAAAACCTAAACCCACCTTTCAGATGCATCAGGGAATTGTACCTAGAGCAAAGGATATGTAAGCACCACTTTATTTCCATGTAGTCATGGGCTACCTAAACACAGCAGGTGGAGGTGAGCTGTTTACCCAGTGATACTACCTTCTGGCCTTCGAAACCAAAGTGGCTGAGCTCACAGATCCACATTTGGAAGATTCACTGGGAGGAAAGCGGATGGTAGGAATGTTCTTGTATGAGAGGGAGGTGTGTGGGTGGAAAGTCGGCTTCCTTGTATGCCTCCTCTGGTCACAACAAGCTACTTACGTGGCACACTGCTCCTGAGCCCACAGAAGAAGAGCCTTCTTTGCAGACATCTGCCATCTTGCTTGGGCTCTGGAGCATTTTTTAGCTGGAGGACTTGAGGTAGGAGATGAGTCAACCACACTCACAGCCTCCAGGGATGTCTGATTGTAATCACAAGAAAGAGTCCGGGCAAGCTCCTCAATCTACGGAAGGCATAGTAATAGTTAACTTAGACGGAAGCAGAAGTTACCAGCATTGGGACAAAATAAGACCTGAAAAGTATCTTATGACAGTCACATTCTACTCCTGGTGAAGTGAACACTGGACAAACCCTTGAAGAATAGCATTTGCCATCTGGCTGCACTTTGGCTTTTTTTCCAGTCTGGCCTTGGGTGGCTCCTTTCCCTCACCCAGGGATGCATCCCACATTGAGAGCGAGCATCTACTTGTCCCTCTAAAGGGTTAACAGAGCGCGTCCCTGGAGCTCAGTACCTGTCAAACTAAATTGAACTGAACTAAATTGAGTTCCCAGTCTGGAGTATCTGTAGAGACTGGATTAACTGAAATACATTCGTTAAAAACAAATGGCCAAGCACAGTAGCTCATGCCTGTAATTCCAACACTCTGGAAGGCCGAGGCAGGAGAATTGCTTGAGTTCAGGAGTTGAAGAACAGCCTGGGCAACATAGCAAGACCTCGTTTCTACAAAAAATAAAAAATTAGCCAGGCATGGTAGCATGCGTCAGTTACTCAGGAGGCTAAAGTGGAGGGATCATCTGGCCCCAGGAGGTCAAGGCGGGGTAAGCCATGATTCAGCCACTTTACTACAGCCTGGGTAACAGAATGAGATCTTGACTCAAAAAAAAAAAAAAAAAGAAAAGAAAAAGCATATATGCAGAAACAAAGATAGTCAGACACATGGATAGATGAGACCCAAGAAAACAAATAAAATTGCCATTAAATATATGAAAAACAACCATATTAGTGGTTATAAAACTCAAAATACATACTGAAAAGGATAGCTTTTACTATATTGTACAGGCAAAATAATTAATTAAAGTCAATATTCAGTGATGTAAAAGGATGAGAAACTGGTCAGGCACAGTGATTCAAGCAATTTGGGAGGCTGAGGAGAGAGAATTGCCTGAATCCACGGATTCGACACCAGACTGGGCAACTTGGCGAGACCTCATCCCTACAATAAATAAAAAAATTAACCAGGTGTGGTAGTGCATGGCTGTAGTTCCGGCTACTTGGAAGGTTGAGGCAGAAGGATAGCCTGAGCCCAGCAGGTCGACACCGTGGTGGCCGTGAGCATGCCACTGCACTCCAGTCTGGGTGACAGACTGAGACTCCAACTCAAAAAAAAAAAAAAAAAGATGAGAAATTGACTATTTTTATATTGCTAGTAAACATACAAATGGCTCAAGTTTTTTAGAGGGCAATAGGATAATAGCTATCTGAAACTTTAAAAGATACATCCACAAACATAGAAGTATTTAATTCATTTCTCTCAGTAATTGACAGAATAACCAGGCAATCAATAATAATAGATGTGACCAACACAATTAACAAACTTGATGTGATTGGTATTGATCTGATCAGCATAAGATGGCAGAACCAATGCTCCTTTAAAGGGTGTCCAAAACTGAAACTGAAACTGACCATGCTGAGCCAATAAAGCAAATCATAGCAATACTGAAGGACTAACGACACCCAGAATATGTTCTCTGACCATATTGAAATTCTAGTCAGTAGCAAAGATACCACTGACAAAATCCCCAAATACTTGGAAATTAAGCAACAGATTTTTACATAATCCATGCATTAAAGGAGAAATAGTAATAAAAATTAGAAACTATTTTGAGCAGAATAATGATAATACTATATTCAAGGACTGAAAGATGCAATATTTTAAAGATGTCAATTTTTTCCAAAATGTTTCATGCATTCAATGCAATCCTAAACAAAATCCCAGGAGACTTTGTGTGCATGTATGTGTCTGTGCATTCACGTGGAAGTTGACAAGTTTATAACATGTACATGACATGCAAAAAGCAAAGCATAGCCAAGATTATCTTAAAGAACAAGTCAGAAACTTACACGATCAGATATCAAGACTTACTATGTAGCTACCAAAATCAATATAGTATACTACGGGTGCACAGATAAGTAAGGAAACAGAAAAGATCATCTGGCAATGAGCCACACATACAAGGTGACTTGATGTGTGAGGGTGATACCACAGTCACAGTAGGAAAACGCTGATCTGTTCAACAGACAGTGTTGGGTCAACTAAATAGTCACATGGAAATAAGTACATTTCAATTGTTTCAATATAACATACCCACAAAATCTGTTCATTCTTGAAAGACTATAGATCTAAATGGAAAATGGAAAACAATTCACCTTTGTAGAACTGTGCTGTCCATTATGAGAGCTACTAGACACATGGGAGATTTAAATTTAAATTAATTAAATAAAATTTAAAATTAAGTTCCTTTGCCATACTAGCCACATCTCAAATGTTCGGCAGGCACAAGTGGCTAGTGGCCAGTGTTTTTTTCAGTGCAGCTACAGAACACTTCCATTATGGCAGAAAGTTCTATTGGACAGAATTTTACAAAATAACTTAAGAGAATATCTTCATGATACTGGCAAAGGAAAAGACATCATTGAAAACAGGGCAAGCCGGGCTCGGTGGCTCAGCCTGTAATCCCAGCACTTTGGCAGGTTGAGTGGATTGCCTGAGCCCACGGGTTCAAGACCCGCCTGGGCAACTTGGCGAGACCTCATCGCTACAATAAAATCCAAAAAATTAGCTGGGCGTGGTAGTGCACGCCTGTAGTTCCAGCTACTTGGAAGGCTGAGGCAGAAGGATCGCCAGAGCCCAGCAGGTTGAGGCTGCGGTGGCCGGGAGTGTGCCACTGCACTTCAGTGTGGGCGACGGAGTGAGACTCCAACTAAAAAAACAAAACAAAACAAAACAGGGCAGACATGGTGGCTCACACCTGTAACCCTAGGAGGCTGAACTGGGAGGATCACTTGAGCCCAGGAGTTCAAGACAAGCTAGGCAATATAGTAAGATCTTGTTTCCACAAAAAATAAAAAAAATTAGCCAGATGTGGTGGCACACACCTGTAGTTCCAGCTACTCAGAAGGCTGAGGCAGAAGGATTGCCTGAGTCCAGGAAGTCAAGGCGGGGGTAAGCCATGATTGTGCCACTGCCCTCCAGCTTAGGCAACAGAGAGAGAACTCAACTCAAAAGAGAAAAAAAAAAAAAAGAAAAAAAGAGTATGAATCCAAACTACACTGAAATTATGTCTGTCCATTAAAAGATTGGGGGGGTGGGACTGGCAGTTGAGGGAAACTGCTAGGGGAGGGAGGGGCATACCTCATCAGCAAGGGTACCTGCATGATCAATGTTTATATACCTAATCCTGAAATGTACCCACATCTTTATAATAAAAATTAAAATAAATAAAAAAGATTGAAAAAAGCTAGCCACAGAGTCTGAAAAATTATTTGTTTGCTATCTATCCAAAAAAGGACTTTTACATGGAATGTATTTTAAAACTTATATAAATCACTACACACAACAGAGCTAAAATAAAAAATTAAATTCCAAGCATTAGCAAGAATTGGAGCAAGGAACTCTTGAACTCTGGTGAGAGTGTAAATGAGAACAACTACTGTGGCATACTGGCAGTATCTACTAAAGCTTCAGGGCACATGCCCTAAGCTCATCAACTCTATCCCTAGTTATACACACAATGGAAATGAGGGCTTGTACAAGGAAAGTGTATACAAAAGTGTTTCCAGCAGCCGGAATCATAACAGCTGGAAACAGGCAACAAAAAGAAATGTACGTCAATTACAGAATAGTAAATGGGTTGTGGTATATTCACACAATGGTATATTCATGCACAGCAGTGACAAAGAACGAGTTACTGATATTTGCTACAATAAGGTAAATCTCACAAGCATGATATAAAGTGAAATAAGTCAAACACTTATTGTATATAGTGTCTATAAGAGTATATAGTGTCTATAAGGGAATATAGTGTCTATAAGAGAATACACTTGTATATAGCGTCTATAAGAGAATATAGTGTCTATAAGAGAGTACATAGTGTATATAAGAGTATATAGTGTCTATAAGAGAATACACTTGTAATTCAAATGGAGTTAAAGATGCCAAACTAATCAGTGATAGAGATCAAAGTGGTTTATCTTTAGGGTAGAGGACAGTGATTAGAAGAAGGACCTAGGGTACTATGAGATGCTGGTAAAGTTCTATAGTTTTGCCAAGGGGTTGTGGCTCAAGTCTGTAGTCCCAGCACTTAGGAAGGCCAGAGTGAAAGGATTGCTTGAGCCCAGGAGTTCGAGACCAGCCAGGGCAACAGAGTGAGATTTTGTCACTACAAAAAAAAAATCAAAAAATTAGCCGGGCATGACAGCATGCACCTGTAGTCCCAGCTACTCAGAAGGCTGAGGCAGAAGAATTGCCTGTGTCTAGGAGGACGAGGCTGCAGTGAGCTGTGATGGTGCCATTGTACTCCAGCCTGGGCAACAAAGGGAGACCCTAACTCAAAAAAAAAAACAAATTCTATATTTGTATCTGGAGTGGTGTTTACATGAGTGTGTTTAATTTATGGATATTTATGAATCTCTATGCTTAAGACCTGTGCATTTTTCTTTATGTGTGTTAGATATCAACAAAAGTTTACTTAACATTTTCAAGCCAAACCAAAGGGAAAAAAAAGATTTAAGTTTGCAAACCCTATGGCACAATTCCACTTCTAAGAATTTGGTCCATGGAAATAATTAAGATTATATGGAAAAGTCTTTATCTTAAAGGCACTCTTATTTGAAATTACTGATAATCATGAATAATCATGAGCTTTCTAGTTATTCATGAAACACAGTGCTTTACATGACAGTGCATTCATGAAACACCATGCCTCCTTAAAGAATACATAAATTTAGAAAGATGTTTATTAGAACAGGCTGAAAACACTATGGATTACATGACCCTATTTTGTTTAAGTTATGCAAAATACAAACATATATTAATTCTTGCTGTATATATCATGAAGACTATATGCCAAATTATCTATAGTGGTTATATGTGAGTAGTGGATTATAGATGATTTTTATTTTTTTATTATCGGTATTAAAATTTTTAAATTATATTTCACATACCCAGAAAAGTATGGAAAAAATTGATAAATGCCCATGAACTATCACATTTTAACATGTTCTCATACTTGGTTCAGATTTTCTTAAATAAATAAATCACAGATACAGCTGAAGCCTTCTGTCTTTCCTCCTCTGATCCCATTTTCTCCCTTCCCAGAAAAAAAAAGAAATGCAACCCTAAATTTAGCTGTCACCATCTTTATGCATGTGATTCTATTGTAACTACAAATGTATGTATCCAGAAATAGTATATAGCCTGGTATTGCATGTTTTTAATTTTATATAAATTAATTATGCTATGTTCTAGTTTTTCTAAAAGAAATATTTGCTTTGTTCATAATTTTAAAGTTATTTTTAAAATGATAAAATAGCAAGTGAGACTTTTTAGGTAGTGCAGAAATCTGCACTAAGTCAGAATTCTAGGTCTGAAAAAAAGATATTTATTGATCGTATATTTCATAAAGCCAGGACTATAACTGTCATTACATCTTGGTGTCATAGTTAAAGAGCTAGCATATAGTGAGTGCTCAAAAATATCTGTGGAATGAAGTGAATCTATGAGAAAGTTTGGGGACAGCAGGGCTGTTGCAGTATTATTCAGACTGGACAGGGGTCCTCAGTCATGGAGGGATTTCACAAAGTTTAGAGGGTGAGATTTCAAGCGTTTACTCCAGAAGCTTCCTCCTTTTTCCTCTGCTGTAATAAACAAATAATAATAAGCAAACATTTACCACAGCAGCTTCTGTTCTGATGGATGCTGCTATTGTGGGTATTTCAGGATATCATGATAATACAGCAGTCAACTTCCATTAAAAAAACAGCAACAAATATGGCAGTTTTTACATGTTCCCGTTTTCCTGAGATCCTATTTATGGGAGACACTCAGGACTGAATTTAGCATCAAGTCACACATTGCCTTACGCTTACTTCATACTGCGGTAATTAGAGTAGAAATAATTTTCCTATCATCAAACTACTTACATGAAAGTGCAGTATAATTGTCCAAATTAAGCCAAGAATAATGGATGGGTTTCCCTCTATGATATCAGTAACATGAATATTTATTAGTTTGATCTGAAAAATAAGAAACGCAGGTTAAAAGGAGAAAGGATTCCTTAGCACCAATCTCTCCTATGAATTTTCAAGTGAAATTTATACTTACTGATTGGTTCTTTAGGAATGTCAGGGCGTGTTCTATATTGATTCTACACTGGAATGTATTAGATCCTTTATCTCGAGGCTGTGAAATTCAAGCAAATAAATTACTCAGAAATATTGCATACATTTTTTAAAAAATGAACAAAAAAGACACTCACTTGTGTCACTGAAAAATCTTACCAGCTGTTGTCCGGAAAGTACTTCTAACAGGTCCAGGAGGACATGTCCCTTTTTAATGTCTGTGAATAGGTCTGATATAACCGAGGGAGGATTGTGCTGTAAAAGGTCACAGAAAAATAACTATTCCAACTTTGGTCCAAAAACACAATACCCCTAAGCATCTCATAAATGTGCTTTGTATCTTTGAAAAAGCTATTAAGGAGTGGTTTTCTTCTTAATTAATAGAATGATAGAGAACATGCAAAGATTCATATCAAAACATGATAAGGAAAGGAGGGACTTTATCTCACGGCAAATTTCCTGTAACACAACACTCCTTCTGCTGAGAGCTAAAAACCTGTGCGTAGAAGTGGCATTGCAAACATTCAGAAACAGCCCATAGTGACCCACTTGGAGAGCAGATTACATTTCTGGAGTAACCTGCTTTTGTGTTTACCCCTTCTCAGAATTACAAGCATTGTGTGGGGATGGACAGACAGGGAACAGTGTGAGTGGCCAGTGAGAAGAGGCTCATTTATTGTGCATCTGGGTTATTCAAGGCACTTGGCATCACTGAGGGAGGATAGCACAGTGATTACGATCAAGGCCTCTGGGTCTTGACTGCCTGGGTTTGTATCTTAGCACTCTCTCTTAAAAGCTGTGTGACCATGAGCAAGTCGCCTAACTTCTCTCTACCTCAGTTTCCTTGACCTTTAAACAGGAATACTACAATTGACCTCACCTCATAGGGTGATGTGAAGTCATTTCTGTGTCATCATCATTACATATGAAGAGTTTAGGACAGTGTCTAACACATTGTTCATATTGTCATTGCTATTATTTCATTTGATGAAAGAAATGTTACTACTTTAAATATTTTTATAGCACTATCCCGTATCCTTAATAAAAGTACCCTTTTTGTGTGTTAAGAAAGAAGAACAGCCGGGCATGGTGGCTCATGCCTGTAATCCAAGCACAGGAGATGGAGGTGAGAGGACTGCCTGAGTCCAGGAGTTCAAGCCTGGACAACTTGGCGAGACCTCGTCTCTACAATAAATCCAAAAATCAGCCAGGTGTGGTAGCACACGCCTGTAGCTCTAGCTACTTGGGAGGTTGAGGCAGAAGGATCTTCTGAGCCCAGGAGGTCGAGGCTGTGATGGCTGTGAGCATGCATTCCAGCCTGGGCAACAGTGAGACTCCAACTCAAAGAAAAAAGGAAGAAAGAAAGAATAACAAACACATCAAAGCAAGATCAATGTTACTTTTAGCACATTCTTTTACCTGTCACTAGTATCATTTTGCAATGGCCTCCTTGGGGCCAAAACTTATGGAACAGGGAGGATAACAAACGCATTTATAACTTGGAGGCTTTTTTTCCCCTTACCTTGGCCAACTGTGAGTTTATCCAGCAGGTGAAGGTTTTCTTCTGAGTGTCTTCCTGTTCAGCTACCAAAGAAAGGACAACAGAAGTTGTAAAGTGAGAAGCCTCCAAAACCTTCTGAACACACCAAAGCTTCAAAGGTCTGTCACTCTGGGTATGCGCATGCGTTTCACAAGCTTACAAACCTTCTCAGACTTAGTCTAAATTTTAGACATTCATCCAAGTGGTGTTTTAGAAATAGCTCATTGATATGAGATTTTTTTTCTAAAGCCATGGGTTCACTGACAAGAAAAATTGTTTTTTTATATTTTTTATTGACAAAAGAATTACGACTACACAGTCTTGACAGTATTGTGATGAGCAGGAGGAGTCTAAGCCAAAGACATGCACTACAATAACCCCAGAGCATTCGAAGATGTTAGAAAAAACACATAAAGTAACCGCAGTGAAGTCTTGACAAATTATCTTGGAGAATATATTGCCACTGAATCAACTGTTAATGAGCTGTAATTAGTCAGAGACCTGGGTTCAAGTTCAGCTTTCATTATGGAACAGTTGTGGGACCTTGAGCACTGTCCTTGTATAACAAGTCATAAGCACTGGCCTCTAGAGATTGTAGTGAGAATCTAACGATTCACTTCACGTGACTAGCACAGACTCTGCACACAGTAAACCCACAGCAGTGCTGGCTCTGATTTCTTATGAACCAGGCAGGAGTTGCGCAGAAGACCTGAACACTCAGCGTAGACCACCCCTTCGCCCCTTCCCCATCTGGGCAGCAGCAGCCCCCACACCAACACCATGCCTCCCCCAGGCTGCTACTCCTCAGTTTCAGCAGACATCCAAGGTCTTAACCAAGGGGTAGTAGCCCTGCACACAAGGACTGAGCTTCTACTGACCCGGACCTCATCACCCCGATGGACAAGGCTAAACAGAGGCCCAGACACCCACTGCTCTGGGCCCAGTGCTCACAGCCTCGCCACCATCGACCTCCAGTTCACCAGGTGTCATCTCCCTGTGGCCTTTATCCCTGCTTATGTTAGTCAATGCATAATTACATGCACCTGCACACACATGCACAATTCACACATATGCACATGCATGCATACAACACATGCACACAAGCACACATGCATGCAGAGACACACACACACACTCCAGACTCTCGTGTCCCTGTCATTTCTCTCCCTATAATTCCCACAAGACTCTGCATGTCCCGCAATTTTTCTCATCTCCCGCCTCCCCCTTAACTCCTGAAACCCGTCTAATAATGAAGAAATCATGCACACCATCAGCAACAACCCCTCGTGCCCAGCACCCTCTCTGGCATGGAGGTTTTGCCTTCTTGCCCTCACTGAAGCCTGGCTCTCCTCTGAGAACACGGTCTCCCCTGCAACTGTCTCTTGCAAGCCCTTGTGCCACTAGTCTTCACTCCTCACGGCCACCTCTGGGTGAATGCTCGGCCCTCTTGGTCCCAGAGTAACGCCGCTGCAGTGTTCACTCGGATTGGGGGCTCCTTTGCTCAGAACCCAGTGAGGGCTCCTCACGTCACTCCCCTCGACAGCTAAAGCCATCGGCACTCTGCTGCTTCCCACTTGCTCATTCCGCCCCAACTGCCCCAACTACTCTGGCCTTCTATTTTCCTCAAACTCTCCTGGTCCGTTCCCACCTCTGGGCATTGGCATTCGCTGTCCTTTCTTCCAGAAATGCTCTTACTATGGATATCCACAAGTGAACTTCCTCAGTGGACACCTCGGTTGTGAGGTCTACCTTGACCATTCCATCTCAAACTTAACACCCCAACTCCTACTCCCTTCTCTTTGGTCTCATTCTTCTCCCCACCCCCCCAACATTTATCACTTTTTTTTTTTTGAGTTGAAGTCTCACTCTGCTGCCTAGGCTGGAGGACAATGGCACACTCACAGCTACCGCAGCCTTGACCTGCTGGGCTCAGGCAATCCTTCCATCTCTGCCTTCCAAGTAGCTGGAACCACAGGCTACCACACCCGTCTCATTTTTTGACTTACTGTAGAGACGAGGTCTTGTCAAGTTGCTCGGGCTGGTCTTGAACCCCTGGGCTCAGGCAATCCTCTTGCCTCAGCCTCCCAAAGTGCTGTGATTACAGGTTGAGCCTCCATGCCAACTTATTATTTTTCAATTCCAGGTAAGTGATTTATGGAGTATGTTTACTTTCAAAGTCCCACTCTCTTCCCTGCTGAATGAAAGCACCACACAAGCAAAGACATTTTGTCTTTGATATGTCTCAAGTACCTAGAAGAGTCAGGCCCTGAGTAGGTCCTAAATACATATTCGCTGAAATAGCAATGATGTTAATTACCATTATTGTTGTTAATATTTTGTTTACTATACTGAAGTCAAATCTACCTTTATAAGTTGACAGTCTTTTCTTTTAGGGTTACCAGCATATCTTCTACTACATTATTTTCCTTTGACTTGTCTCCTTCTCCTTTATTAATTTCTATCTAACACAGTCATAATGAACTGAAATCACTGGTATTTGGCCTATGATGTGTGTAGGAGTATGACATCTAATTTAGGTTCTCAAAAAATTTTGAAGTAGAGGAAAGCTCTGGTTGAGGAACAAGAAGGACTGGCTGTGGAAACAGAATTTTAGGATGTTTACAATTGTTTAGTAAGTATTATGACTCTTTAGAGATTAGAGCTGCACTGAATCTCAATGGAATTTTTTTCCTTTTTAAATCTGTTTCATGTTTTATGCATTACCAGTTTAAATTCATTATAGCCTGGTGATTTACACTTCATAGGATGCTCAATAATTGTTAGCTGAACTAAATTGAGTTCTGACAAGCCAACTGGATAATTTAAGCTTTTGAGCGTTATTGCTGTCTCGTATAAATTTCACTTAACAAAAGAATTCCAAAGAACCACAATTTTATCCTATTATTCAAAATTTTACTGAATCTCCTAGCATCTTTGAGATATGTTTTCAGTTTTTCCCCTAGTATCAGTAGATGATAAAAGAATAACTTTTAAACATATATTGACACTTTCCAAAAACAATGCATCAAAGGCTAACTTTGTTTCTCAATAGAGAAAAACTAGAAAACACGTTTTAATGATTCTTGGATCGGGTGACAATGTATATTAATTGAGGTCATATGCAAAAGCCAGGAGAGGACCAGCCATTCCTAACAATAAAGTAGAAATTCAAAATAATGATGAAACAAACAAGGAAAAAAAACAAAGATGACTATCTTCCTTATCCTTAAGGAACTGAGAGAGATATTTTTCTCTAAGTGATAAAGTGTGAATAAGAAACTAATCAAGATTATTGCCAGTACAAGACACAGAGTCTATACTAACTCTATGGGAGTTACTGGGGGGAGACACCATTAAATAATCTTAGAGGAAGTGAAATGTAGCACAAAACTAAGTGCAAAAAGAACACCATGTGCCTAGGGAGTTTTAGCATTCCCTGGCCACCTGGAAGCCTCAGCCATTTTGATCCATTTCCAAATGAGATGAGAAACTTTTCATTTCTACATGATGCTAGACAAAAAGGGTCTTGTAAGGGTCTGACTGGGACTGTGAACTTTCCAAGGGTAAGAAAACAGGCAGCAAAATCAGGGCACCAGCTGGATCGTTCAAGTTAGAGCACCTTGAGCAATCTAAGACTGAACTGAGGAGTATCTCCTGACAGAGACATAAACTTGAATTTAAAATAACTAAAACTCTTCTAAAGAAAATCTGAAGTTATCCCTGTCCTAACTTGATTAAGCTCTAATAGAAACAAAGGGAAAAAACAATAAGAAAAGCACTCAAGCCAAATCGCCACAGGTACTCTCCTGTTGGCCAAGGAAACAGTGCACAAATGAAATCTTCAGAAAAAGATTTGGAAAGGAATCTTCATGGCTTTTAATTTATTGTCCAAAATCAGAGAATGCCTCTTCATCCAGGAAAGCAGAACTCTTTCAATGCAACAAGGACCCTTTGCTTAATGGCAAACAAAGATGTCCCAGGTGCAATTAAACACCTTTGTAGCAGCTCAATTAAATGGTTTCGTATGTGCCATTCCATTTATCCCTTGACACACTTTTCTCACATTTTCACACCGCCTCACTCCTGAATAGCAGTATTCACCCAGGGAACCAGAGCCAAATCGCTCACCCTACAGCGGGATAAGTCACCTTTTGTTCTTTTCAAAGGCTGACCCATTGGAGAAAAAAATAATTGAGAGCCACGTGCTTAAAGCAACTTAATAAAACTCTTCTTAGAATGGCATGCAGAAAAAAGGACCTTTTAATCAGTAGATGTTAGGGATAGAAAAAGAGCAAAGAAATAAAGAGAAGAACACAATCTATTACGCTGATGAGTTTCTGTAAAAATGCTAAGCATTGGAGAATAGGAAATTCTCTATCCTGATTTTTAAGGCAAATAAATATACATAATGAAGGCAAACGTGGTCAGTGAATTTTATTCTGGCCCACATAAGTATCTTTGCTTATCATTCTTGAACCTTTTTGGACTTAATTTGAGAAATGAGACACAGGAGGCAACGATTTTCTCTAGGGGTCATTACCATCAAAATGCATTTAATCTCCGAGTTGTTCTTATTCAAGCAGCCTTTTGTGAGCCAGTAACTCAAATCCTTAGCCAGAAGGGCACTAAACTGAAAACAAATTGAGTTAAGCTAATGAAAGGGTGTGGACTTTAAGTTCATTTTAAAGCTCATTATAAAACTACCATGGCTACTAAGTCTCAGCAAGGTCCAGTTTCACAGAAGTTCATCGAAAATGTTGACTCCTTGAGTCCTTCCGGTAGTAAGAGTTCAAGGTTATTTACCCCAAGCTAAGAATCACTAGTTTACGTTCTTTCTTAAACACAGAGCACTGAAGGATTAAAACGTGGCACCCAAGGATGTTCTCTTCATCATGAGATGACCAAAGAAGCCTTGAAACCTCTTTCTATCCAGAAATTTCTCTTCTGCTTCTATGATTGGATTTTCCATAACAGGTTTTACTACATATGGCCCCAGATTCAATCATTTGATCTTTCGCTCTCCTCATTACAATTGTTTAATCGT